AAAGTAGGTAGAGAATAAAGGTTAAGCAAACCCCCAAAAGGTGGACAAATTACAGCAAGCTCTTCGGGTTGAAGAGCACAAAGAACAACCCGAATGAAGTTAAACATGAAATAGCAATTGACACGGTCACCAACAGGTTCTTCGCGGTCTGCAAAAATTCAGAGTGGAAGGCTCGGATTCGCCATAATCTGAACCGAATAAGAGAAGAGTATATCAAATTGGGAAAAATTGGGGATCTACAAAATAAAAAATCAACCTAATTCTACAAATAGCAATAACAAAAATCGTTTAGCAAACTAAATAGATTCGTAAATCTGGAAGCAAAACCTGGAGTCGAAGAAGTTTCGCTTAGCAAACTCTTCTTGACGATGAGTCGAAGAGGAAATTCAGTAAACAAAAATCAAAATTTCTTATGAAAATAAGAAAACCGAAAGGATTGAAAAAACAAAACGATGAAATCAAAACATTACCAACACAGATGGTAAAAGCCGAGGGAGAAGAACACTTTGAATCACCCAAAAAGAGTAGAAACAGATTTAAAAAGCGAAATCAAAGGAGTTCACATAAATTTTTTGAGGGGGCTAGAGCTTTTGAGTTCGGCGGGATAAGAAGGAAGATGACTGGTTTTTTACACAAAACCATTCAAACCAAATGAACATTTGCACGCAAATATCGCTCGGTTTTTGAGCCCATTTAATGCATGCAACAGTAAAAAGTAAGAACGTTCCTTCGGTTTGAGGAGGAGCGCGTAAGGCCATTTTGGTCTCATTTGATGGCAAAAAATCATCTCACTAGTAGCAACTAAACTCCTCTTGCTATTTATTTAATTACTCCAAACAGTATTGCTAGTGGGTGCAAATACTCTAAATTCAAAGCATATACAGAAGTTGAGAAAATCAGACTAGAAGAAGACACGATCATATCCGGAGGAATATCCATTCATATAACAGAATCTCAAAATAAGTCCAAAACCAGAAAACAAATAAAACTAAAAATATAGGAAGCACGAATGCAAACAAGTAGCTCCACCACCTCCGATCACCAATTCCGAGAAGTGAGCGCTAACGGAGCCGAAACGAAGAAGCTGTAACG